CTGTTTCCTCTGCCTTTTCTATCGAAGGGGCAACCAGGCTCTGTAGTAAAGCATGCTGACTCTCCACACTTTTGAGAATGAAAAACTTCCTATCTTCAAATTTAGCTTTAATCTGCCTCTCTCCACTCTAAAATTCAGTGAAATAAAATGTAGATTTAAATGGGCAGCAAAGTACTGTGGACCCTATGCAGCTCCTGCTGAAATCAGCAGTGGCAAAATTCCTTGTCATTTAAATGACATGGGAGAAGTCATATGGTTATAAATTTTGTATGTGCGTTGGTATAATATTCTTTGTGTGTGTCCATGCACGTGTATTTTATGTTGCATAGGCTTATACAGGTATAAGTACACTAAGGAGAGATGAGCACCTATTTACAGCAGGCAGCAAATCCACATGTGTGTACATGTATATGTATGTCTGTGTGTGCTGCTAATGTATGTTTAGATTGGCATCAGGCCAGGACTGGATGTGTTTGTAAAGTGTGTACATAAAAGCTTGTCTGCTCTCCCATTGCAGAAGCTTGAACCAGATGTGAGCTGTGATGGAGGCCTTTGTTTTATGAGACCTTCTCTCTTGGTGGATATTTCTATTTCTGGGGTGATAGGGCGTTCTCAAAACTGATGGTGTTGGAAGCTGAAGTGAGCTTAAAATGGCAGAGACACCCCATGTGTTCTGGGTATTGATACAAAGATCCAAAAGGACATTGATAGGCTTTTGGGATATCTGCTATAGAGACAGAAGGGGTTAAACAGCTGAGTGTGTTTTCTGGCCTCTCAGAGGACCCTTCTGCTGTGGGACTGCTAAGAGTTGGGGAACAGCAGGTGCTGATTGCCACCACAATAGTGCACTGTCAACAATACCACACAAACTGAGACTCCTTAATCCCCATCCATAAGATGATCCATGAGCTGGGAAGCCGAGGGGTAGTCAGCAAGACTCACTCCCCCTTCAACAACCCCATTTGGCCTGTGCATAAGCCCAGTGGAGAATGGAGATAGACAGTGGCTTGAATGAAGTTACCCCATTGCTGAGTGCTGCTGTGCCAGACATGCTGAAGCTTCAGTATAAACTGGAGCCTAAGGCAGCCAAGTGGTGCCACCATCAACATTGCTAATGCACTTTTCTCCATTCCTTTGGCAGCAGAGTGCAGACCACAGTTTGCTTTCACTTGGATAGGCATGCAGTATACCTGGAACCAACTGCCCCACGGTGGGAAACACATTCCCACCATCTGCCACAGACTGTCATTAGAGGTCCTACCTCCTGAATATATTGTCATTAAACCGAGACAACAGGGGAGGAGAAGTCAAGGAGAGTAACAATAGATGGTCTTATCATAGCAGTGGCCAGCCCAGCCTTGAGCTGACAGCCTGGCAGATGATCCCCTGCCAGAAAATATGACAAAGGAGATGGGTTTTTGGCAATACTGTCCTCAGACACTCAGCTCTCACAGAGGAAATGTGATCCTGGGGAAGGCCAGGAGCGGGCTTTCTGCTTGTGGGAGAAGCAGGGGTTATGCATGGGCCGTGGCACTCAGAGAATGACTCAAAATCAGAGCAGTGCATTTGTTCATACCCAGAAGAAATCCATCCATTGCATCTCTGTGAGCTGGACTTAATTGGTCGCGCAGCTGCGCCCACCCAGGTCTGCCTGCTCATACACACAGATTGTACAGCCCCATTTCCAACAACCTCCTTCTCACTTGGTGTGCATCTTCCCTTTCTCCAGCCCCATCCTCCCTTGTTTGCGTATTTCTGTCTCCAAAGAAAACACTATGGGAAAGATACGTTTCTTTTCAGCATCATGCTGACCCCCTTTTCTCCTCCTCCGAAGCCCTGAAATTAATTAAATGATGTCACGCTTGATTTTATCTGATTTGGAAGCAATTCATAACCCTTTTGCTAGTTCTATTAGTCCAAGTGATCAGCACATTAATTCATTTGTGAGACTAAGCTCAAGGGTAATTACAATGAGGAAGCTTAATGCCTAAACGTATTAATGTCTGTAATCAGAACTATTTTCTCGGTGCGGAACAATTGTTAGACAATTACACTTGGATATGATTGCTCTGGTAGGCAACAGGCGCTGTGTCAAGAGGGGAATGGCAGAAGCTTTTTTTGCAAGTAGTGTATTATCAGCAAATTTGACTCTTTGCAGTCTCTCTTGGGGATTCTGTGCAGCTTGCCCTTTCTTCAGGTTTTGCGTTATTAAATAAGTTGTAAAGTCATCCCTCTCTTTTTTTCAGGCTGGGTTATGTGGGGCACAGAGGAAAATAGACTCCTCTGTTGTTCTTTTTTTTCTGTGGGACTGCAGGAGCATAGCAAGGACCACAAGGCCTTTCTGAGCAAGGTCATTTCCTCTTTTCTCTTCTCTTCTGACTGAACTGCTGGTGCCCTTCTCTAACAAGAAAGCTTCAAGCTTTATGTAAGGTGTCCTAAATGCATCTATCTCCTCCAGGCCTAGCTCTTGAAGGAAGTTAGAAAATTACAGCTAAATGTACAAAGTTTAACTTCTAATAAAAAAGAGTGTCAGGAAATACCCTGCCTGTGCCATCACCCTGCAGCAGCCTGTGTGATACCCAGCGCTGATGTCTGTGGATAACAGCATCGTGTGGGATGAGCAGGCGTGCTGCAGACTGCATGAATGCCATGTTCCAGCAGGATTTTGGGGAAAGATGTAGCTCTGGCTCATGCCTGCACAGGGTGGGCTGTGGTGGGCAGCAGTGTTGCTTGGCCATACAGTATGTTTCCATTGTGCAGCAGGAAGCAAGGAGGCACAGTGAGGGGTGAGGGATCAGGACTGCAGCAATGAGCATGATGCCACTGCAGAAGCAATCATGCCCACAGCCTGAACCAAGGGAAGATGGGTCAGCCCAGGACCTCCAAGCTAGTGCTGGTGGTTCAGGGCAATTCAGTCTTTTGGACTAATGGCCCCTGTCCATCTTACCCTTCCTCCAACCGGCGTGTGGCATTTGCAGGCAGGGTATATTCAGTCTCTAAGACCACTAAAACTGAGGATGAATTTGCTGTAGTCCCTGTGTACTGGATGGTGTGTCTGGGCAGAGGGATGGCCAGGAACCCCACAGAGTCATTTCTCTTCCTCCCTGGGCAGCCACAGTGACTTCCACTGTTGCCAAGTGAGTCCAAGCACTTTGGCTTTTCAGTTGGGGAGAGATTTTATTCCAGCTCAACCTGGAGGTCCTCCAACACACAAGGCACTGTATGTTGCAGAAATTCTGTTTTGGGGTAATGTCCCATATACTGCTGCTCTTGAAAAATGCATTTCTTGGTATTTGAAGAAAAGCCTCTGGCTGTGCTGGATTGGCAGCATGCTCAGAGGCATGTTAGTCCTTAGCAGCAGTCCCAGCCTCCTGCCACAAATGAGACAGGGCCAGAAATGAGTTTACAATGATGTGTTTTGCAGGCACGGTGAAGGTTGTGCCAGTGACAACTATGAGAAGAGCTGTCTGCTTGGGTGGTTTCAGAGCCTATCTACACCCAAAGAAAGGTAAGATAAATCTAAAGTTTCTGTTGTCATTAGTGGTATAGGTAAAGAACAAATGAGGTCTTTTCTTTAAGAGAGCAATCGTTTCTGGTCTTCAGCTGGATTTGCAAAGGGGCTGTGGCAGTGACCACCTCCTCTCTATACATCTGATGTGGCAGGACTGATATTAGTACCTCCCTGCTTTCTCCAAAATCTAGGATACAACAGAACCCTGCTGGCATGCCCTGGTGAGGTCTAAGCCCTCTAAACAGGCAGTCAGGGCATGGTGATGGTTGGGTTTGCTGTCTGTCATCCCAATGCAGTATTCCAGAGTCTTGCTGCAGGTTTGCCAAGGAGTGTCACACAGCAAGTGAATTTTGACAGAATGATATGAAAACCAAGAAGATATCTCTGCTGTTCAGTGAGTTAAAAAAGTACTGAAATTCAGGGCAATCTCTTCTCATCTCTTCTCACCCAGCTTTCAGGTCTGACAATAGGTAATGTAAGCACAATAGGGTGTGTTGTGGTTTAACCCCAACTCAGCAGCACACGGTGGGATGGGGAATAGTAAAACTGAGGAAACATCGGGCTTCTGATTTTTCCCTCTGCTGTCCAAGTTGCAAGGAGCAGCAGGAGACATAGCCTGTCTGTTGTGTTATGGATGTCTCTCCTCTAGACTAATCCCAAGTTACTGTAGATACCATTTGAAACTATTGAACAATAGCTTCTAAAATATCCACCTACTCCTCCTCTTTTTGTCTTTATTAAAAGCTATAGAATAATTCTAATGTGACAGGAAACATGCTGCATTTTTTCTCCACTCTGTTTGACTGAAGTGAAGCTGCTTTCCTGCACAAAGGTACCCACCTCTGAATAGTTTGCTATTCTGAGTCCTGTTAAATTTGGAGTCAAACTTATTTTAACTGTTGCAGTCTCAGAGTCACCTGGTAGTTCTTCCATGCCACTAAAGCTCAATGGGGTTTTACCCCACGTACCAACAGAGACACAGAAAAGTATGTTGATTCCAACAAAATACAAATGTAATCAGTTGAATGAATTAGGAGATTAATATCTCCATCCTCCTTCCTGTGTTTGGTGGTGGGATGCTTTGAGCAGTGTCCTTCTCCATCACACTTCTAGCCAGGGGTGGTGGGATAACAGATGTAATAAGAAAAAAAATTTAAATTCCTCAGAAGACTCTAGACCTGGAGACCATATCCCTGTGGTCCCAGAAAACATGCTGAACCATGCTATGCCCTGATAGCTGCCTCTATTGATTTCCATTGCAAATGCACAGCTTTAGTCCACCTGCAAACTTCTTTGTAAATTTGTCTGACAGCAAAACCCATCAGAAGGAGGAAACTCCTTGCTCACAGATTTTGGTTGCTCTGCCACTGGTTATGGCTTACAGAACCAAAGAAAACAGCGGGAACAGTAAAGTTACTGAGACTGAATTATTTTTCCATGTCACATAGCCACGAGGAGGATTCCACTGGCATCCTGGGCGTTCCTGGAGAGCACAGGGCTGTGTGAAGACGAGCAGCAGCAAACCTGAGGTCTCTTCCAGCCACAATGATCCATCTCTCTGTCTCTGGTGTGCTCAGCTCTGCGCTCACCAAAGCTGCCTTAATCCGTCTGTCCACATACGTTCGACGCGACACTCTGAAGTGTCTGCTGGGCCTGTGCCCCATTCCCTGAGGTCAGTGAGCAAATGTGGGTGTGTTGGTACAGGCAAGCCAGGGCTTGCCAGGGTTGGCTCATGGTTCTGCTGCCCTTGAGGACTCGGGGGCCAGCTCAGGCCATGGTAACTGTGCTGTGGACCAGCACAGGAAAATTACTCAGCTGTTACTCCAACTTCCATGCACGATCATTTTCTCCCCTGAGGCTGTAGATACATTCAATCAAAAATGAGCACATTTTACTCTTCTCTGTAAAAAATGCAAATGCAGTGCAAACATGCTGCTTGATATTTCTGCATAATCTGGTAATCCTGCACAGAGCAGATAAAGTGACAGAAAAAGAAAGTTCTTGCCTCATTTCTCTCCTCTGGCCAAGACAATACATCTAATGGTAGGACATGCAATCTGTCTGTCTCAGATACACAAACAATTCCTAAGTCTGGCAGAACACCACATTAGGTGAGGGAATCACCCTGCTCCTGGGGGGCTGAGCATGCCCAGGGCACACAGCTCCCTGCAGACTGGCAGCAGAGATGCAGCACCCTGACAGGCACAGACTGGGGGGGCTTCTGCTGCATTTCTCATTTGGAAATGACATTGTACAGACAGTGGTGCAGGTGGGGTGGCCTTTGGGTAAGACTGACGTCACTATTCAGCATTAAGCCATGTTAAGTATGTGTTCCTTAACTAATGGTTTATTTTCCTTGGCTTGGCAGGATTCTGGGGTGCCACAGCTCCTTTGAAACATAAAGCAGTGATGTGGCATTTAGTGTAGTAATCAACTGGGCAGCCCAAATGTGTCATCTGCTATGTTAGAAGGTAATAGAAGAAGGAAATAACTCCTCTGTGGAAAATTGCTCCCATACATAGAAAAGGAGGAGTGAAGGACAGGTCATTTCCATCCCCAGGGGATGCTTTGTGTCCCTCAGAGGCAATGGTGCACAGGACCACTCACTGTTGACTGACCTGGTGTCTGAGTAGTTGGATCCTGCTGCTGGCAAGCTGGATTTCACTGGAGCTGTGTCTATGTTTACTTTCCAGGTTGCCTTCTCTGTGCTGTGCTGCAGTGTGTGATGCCTTCAGCCACAGTTCAGCTGCTGAGAAAGGCAGGGGGAGTTCTGCAGTCCTCAGTCCAAACTGGACCGTCAGAGCCAGAGAAAGAGAAAGACACAGGTGCTAAAGTGGCAGGTCACAAAAGAGGTCAGTTAGTTGGCTTCTCACTCAGTACAGTGAGAAGTACTTCATACCCCCTGCCCTCCCCTCTTTCCGTCCCACCCTGGTCCTGTTCCCTGCCTTGCCAGGAGCACATTTTGGTACAGGGGTCTGAAAAATCATTACTATTTCTATTCTGTGGTTTCCATTGTAGTAATTCATCTGTTCAGCTCTGCACAAGGCCCTTGAATGGGGCACAGCAGCACACACCCTGTGTGACAGGAAAAAAAGAGGATTACTGTGGGGATGGCTGAAAGGAAAATATGATTCCTTTGCTTGTTGCTACAATCTTGTTGACTTGCCCATGCATTGCAGGAAGCAATTCATACAGATTTTCTTTGCATAATAATAGTAAAGGCTTTCTGTTTTGTGGAAAACGCAAAGGGTAGGGGAGAGGATATTTATCACAGGGACAGGCACAGTCTTGGCAGAAAGTTTATATACCATTTATGCAAAATCACTTCCTGCTGCCCAAATGTTGTCTCTCTGTGATCCAGCATGGTGGAGAGGGTCATGTGAAGGGCTCGGGCTCAAAGGTTGTGTTGAACTCTTATTTCACTGCTGGCTCATAACAGGAGAGTGCAGCAGAGAGAGGGCAGTAGTTCAGCTTTGCTAAGACCAGCCTGCTACACAGCTTTACTTGGTGTTACTTTGGGGTTTTTAACTGCTTTTTGCATATGGCCTGTGTTAAAGGTCATGATTAACATGTGCTTGACACCTCCTGGATTTGTGCAGCCCACTCCTGTTGTCCCAGTGCTCTGGTGACCCCCAGCATTAGCTACTGGCAGGGGTGAAGCAGTAGAAACACACACTTTTACAGTTTGGTTGGTTTTTTTTCCTGGTAAGTAAAGGAGGCTTTTTTCAGTTGTGCTGGCTGTTTGTCAGCTGCTCTTTCTGGAGAGGTGAACAGGCATGACAGGTTGGAGGTACGGAATGGGTGTCCCTTCAGAGTTGCTGAGCAAGGACTTTAGACAGACTTGACTGGTAGGAGTTAAACCCAGCAATGCCCTGCTCCAGTGGGGAAGATGGTTTTGAATGGAGGGTGGCAAACAGCACGGAAAGAGTTTTCTAATTTTTATTTTTTTTTAATAAAGACTCATGCCAGCTCCCTGAGCTGGGCTTGCAGGTGTGCCAGGGAACTTAACCCAGCTGTTCCCAGCAGTATTATCTCTTGGAGGATGTGGAGGCTCCCTGCAGTCTCAGGGGCTCTTCCAGGGGCAAATTATTCTCACAGACATTCATGACTGCCCACACAATTTGCCGTTATGTCCCCTGTCCCCCATCGTGTCACAGCTAACATCTTCCATGTCAATTCTCTCTGTGGCTGCTGAGGCAGTCTGGGTGTTATGTGGTGGCCCATGGACTGGGACATTCCCTTGGTGGCTGCAAGATCAACTTTCTTCAGCAATGAGGCCTCAGGTTTAAGTAATTTCATATGCTTGTGTCCATCTGATTCATGAGTGACACAGGGCTGCAGAGAACTTCATCCCCATTAGTGCAGCATGAAACTGCTTGCAAAAGCTAAACTGTGCTTTATAGTCCCACCTTGAACACCTGAATTCCATGGCCTTTGCTGAGTTTCCCTGAATGAGCTGCAGGGGGTTTTAAATTAATATATAATAATAGTGGGTTGATTACTCCTTTCTTTTACTTTTTTGGTCAGATAAATAAAACCCACTTGGGGAAAGGGGGCAGGGGGAGGTGTGTGTATTAAAACTTGTATTGCTCATGTCTCTGGTCTTTATTTATTCTGAAGTATTGCTGAGGTTCTGATGTTATACTGTGAAGATGTTTCGTGATGTCAAATCTCAGCCTTTGCATCAGGCACTGTTTCCTCTGTGTGGTACTTCATCAGCTGGAGCCTTTCAGGGCGTGTGTGCCCCTGGGCACAGGCCAGGCATGGGAAGGGCCCCATGGTGTGGAGATGGATGCAGTGCCAGGGGCACGGTGCCACAGCCTGCTGCCATCCTGTACAAGGGCGGGCTTGCAGCAGCACTGTTTTGCTTCACCCACCCTCCCCCCATGGAAAATAGAGTTGATATTACCTACAGCTGTAAAGCATGAATGCTAATAATGTTACCCTAACTCCCCTTCAGCAAGCAGTACTGTTACAAACAGCTTGTGCTCCTGGCAGCGCTCCCTGAAGGTAGCAGAGAAGGTACCAGCACTGGCACAGCCTCTCAGGGAATTGTGTGTGTCTGCAATGACCTTTCCAGGCTGCTGGGGATAAAATGTTGAGGTCATTCATGAAAGAAAGAGTTGCGATCCAGGGACACTGGAGTGTTTTAAAATGCGCCTCAAAGAGCCAAATGACCTTTACAGTTTCTTGATAAATGTAAAATGCTTTCCAGAGGCCTGGTAATGCAGGGCTAATGCTCTCTGGGCAGTGAAGCAGACTGGGGGCAGTGGGGCGGGGTGTTTAGGGGTGTGTGTGAGTGTGGGTTTGAGTGCAGCAGTGTGTGTGGGAGTGTGTATGTAGGGGTGTGTGTAGCTTGATAGTTGTGTGTGTGTGTGTGGGTAGGTGGGGATGTGTGTAGGGGTGTGTGTTGTGGTGTGTGGCTGCCCCAGCTCAGGGCCACCCCAGGGCTTTCCCCAAACAGGGTCTGAGGCCATGGATGTGGGAAGTCCATGGCACTGGCAATGCTCAAGCCCCCCTGATAAGAGATTTCACATTTGCACAGAGACTTTGTTTCATATTTTATTGAATTTCATTTATATTAAATTAAAAATATATTTCTGACAGATTCATGTAACAAAAAGGCAGAACAGTTCTCAAGTTGTTCAGCTGGGATGAGTGTGGGTTGATGCAAGGTGGGTTGCAGTCTACATTTGCCTTAACAAACAGATACAGCTCTACCCCAAGGGCCATGAGGAGAAACTCGGGGCTGGCACGTGGGCAGGGGGAGAATAGAACCACACAAAGAGAAGATCCACAGGTTTCTTCCCAGCCTCCAAACAAGACAAAAGGGGAGGGAAGGAAAAAAAGAAAAAACAAGAAACCATGAAAAGAAGGGAAATTATGCTAAATTATGCTAATATTAACCCAGGTCAGTAAGTATTTTAGCAGTGTATAATCCTCGATAGCTAAAATATGAGGAACAAAAGGTTAAAGTAACATTACGCCACACACAATTGGCTTATCCTACTGTGTAAGCAAGTGCAGAAAGTCTGAACACACCACAATAGTGCTAAAACACAGAATCACATAGAATGCCAAAAATGGTACTTCTAAACAAAACCAGAGAGTGGGAAGGGAGGGAAACGAAAGGGGGAGGAGCGGCTTAAATCACAAGCAAATTACCTATATACAAATCAACCCTAAGGACAATTATGTTCCAAATAATGGTGTCCACAAGGAAAATAAAAGCAACATTATCCTTATTTACAAATGCAACTAGCTGTGTCTTTAACAAGCTATAAAAATACTATTCACATTTTCAAAGTAACATACAGTAGTTTTTGTATTTTTTATTTTTATTTCAGAAAGGCAGCTAACTCTGAATGCATCACTTTGCAAGAAATGAATGTCTTCTCCAACATGCTGACACTTCTCTTCTTCTGAAGGTACTTCATAAGGCAGAAGTATTTTTGTTTTGTCTCTCTGTGCTTTGAGAACACGGAGAATTGGCTAAAACCCAGACCCCCCCACCATCTCTGTGTCATGGCCATCTCCCATTGGGTGGCCAGGCTGGTTCCTTTGGGATGGACTGGCTGCAGTGACTGCAGGCACCATGACCAGGGTCTCTCCCAGGAGCTCGGTGCTATCCCTGTGTCTTCTCCTGGTGGGACCCTTTGATTCCAAGGGGACAGTAATGACATCCTCCAGGCCTGGGAATTTGAGCCTCATCAAAAAAACCTGGTGGTTCTGGACCACCAGGTCAGGAAATACAATTTGGCTACCTCTGTTCTTAGAAGGAGACTTCTTTTCCCCCTTAGTTTCCCTTCCCTACACTAGGCTCGCTACCTCTTTAGAAATTCCAGCTTAGAATGTTGGGGAATTAGCAAAAACTGGGCAACAAAAGGGATTAAAACCATTGTGAATAATGTATTGAATGGGTATCAATTTCCAACGTTAAAATGCTATAAAAAATTACTTGTTTTCTCATTGACTTTCATTTTCCTCTTACATTACCCCACCACAAAAAGACAAGTACCCAGCACCTACCTCCAGTCCCATGTCCAAAGGAACAGTGGTTTTGTGCATTCAAAGTTAGCTACCCCCTACACAGCTGCTCAGTTAATAATCGACCCATTTAACAGCAGGACCAGTTTATGCTACATATGTCAGAGTACCTTACCTCGAAAGAACGGCATACATATCTACACTGAACTTATAAAATACCAGTCACAGTTCGGTACCGCGGTTATCCCAAGAGGGTTTAGTCTTCGGAGTGCTATGGACAATACAGTGTTTTCCCTCTAAGAGGGCTCAAAGGTTGGGCTGGGGCCCAAACTGCTGGCAAACCACAGCCAATGGCTCCACGTACCCGTGGCCCTGGTCACACCTGAGCCACCAGCCAGAGGGTGCTGGGTGGGATGTGCCTTTGCCCTGGTGGGGTCATCCACAACACAGCTGGAACACAATTTCATGGCTTTTTTTATTGAAGAGGGGAGAAGAACTGGGACGTAATTACTCACACTGCCTAATGCCTTACAAAGCTCCCCTTAAAACCCCTCTCAACCAAGGCCCACAAAGCTCACTCCTAAAATTAAATAATAAAAAAAGGGAAAAAAAAAAAGGCAGCTTTGACTCCTCTTGTTTCTATTGGGATCATGTCCTTGGGTTTTCCCCTCACACCTTTTCCTGGCCTGTTGGCACAGACCCCAGCTGGAGTCTGGATGCCTTCCACCCTGGGTGGAAGGCATCCCTCTGGCTCTGCTTAGGAGGTGAGATTGGCTACAGTTCAAGCAAGTCCCACCACCGTCAGTCAGATCTGAACACTCACAAAGTTTCCCAAAAGATGCTATATATTGTCCAAATCTACAGGCAGCTCCCAACCATTACTGCAAGCACCACTGACAACAGCCTCACCTGTCCATGATTTCCTCAAGAGCAATGAATCCACCATCAGAACAACCTACTAATCCACACAGTGGTAAAATAAAATTGTGCTAAAACAAAATTAAAACAAAGGTGGAGACATGATTTTTTGACATTTTATAGCGGTGCTTGTAGCCACAAAGCTGTTATTTGTTCCCACTTGTAATGCTGATGACCTTTTCTACCAGTGTAACAGACACTTAGCAACAGGCAGAAAATAAAAGAGGGAATCTTGCACACACAGTGATACTGCACAGTGCCTTCCCTGTGAGACAACCACAGCTCCCTGCACATGATGAAGCATGAGCATTACACCAACCACCCCAGCCTGCACAGCCTTGGTTTTCTAAAATGCAATCTGAACCCAAATCCAAGATTTTATGTAACCACAGACGAGCTGTTTTGTCAGCAGCAGAGGTCTAAGGTTCACAGCAGTGAGAATATTGCAAGTGACAGAGCTAGAAATGAGCAGAGTCTTTGTGTATCACTATCTTTTGAAAAAGCCTTGAGAAGGGAACTTGAGATGACACCGTCCCCTCTGAGGTGCTCTCTAAGAGCCAAGGGGGTGACTGATAACCAGAGGTCTGGCTCTCATTTATGTAAAATCCTCTGTTCCATCCATCACCCTCCAGTTAGCCTTCCAAGAAGGTAAACACCAACCTGAGCTCCAGAGTTCTAAAACATGCTTGAGAAATCAGGGAGGAAGCCTTGAGACACAAGCTGAACAAGATGAGGGAAACACCCATCCCTATAAGTGGGCACTTCTGGTGCTCCCACTCCCTCCCCCAAAAAGGGTGGGCAGATACAGGGTGTGAGTGTTCGAGTCCCCATGCTTGTGGGTGCTGCAGTGGTTGCTACCCCTCCCAGAAGGGCACACCTGCCCCAGGTGCACAGGGCTGCCAGGGAAGCACAGCTTACTGGGATGCCTTCAGTTACTGTGAGGAATTACACAACCAACAGCCTGACTTGTGCCAGTCTCCTGATCTCCCAGATGGAATAAAGGAGTTCAAACAATCCTGTCATTGCTTTAGCTGCCACCATGATGCACAACACCTACACAGACACCCCATCAAACAAAAAAGATTTTTCCTTTAATATCTGAGGTTCCCATATAGATCCATCCCCAAAACCAAGCTGTATTTCTGGGCTGACTCACCTCACAGCTTGTACTTCTGCCCTGTACTGCCCAGCTCTACCTAAAGCTATGGAAAGAGTGGATCCACAGAGTCATGGATGAGCTGCTCTTCCAGAGTTGTCATTTTCTTTGCTTCTAGGCTGGGATTGGTCGTGGCTGAGGGGGAAAGAAATGCTCTCCCTCACAAGTCTTTAGTGGAAACTGGTATCAGATCATTGCAGATAAGTCTTGCAGTCAAGAAACACATTTTCTACCAAATAAGTAGTACAACCAGGGTTAACACATCCAATCTTTGGACACAGAAAAAGATTTCAGGGCTGAGCTCAAGGTACCTGAAACAGCCCCACATGGTGGCTCCTACTGTGGATATTAGCTCAGGTTTATTTCCATCTCTTACTGCCTGTGAGAGATGACCTGTTTGAAAGCAAGTTGTAAATACTCTGCTACATCTAAGTGAGTGGCCATGTAAGAATCCCTCCCAGCTATTTTGCAGAAAAAGAAAAATTTGAAAAGAGCTGAAGATGGGAACTTAAAAGTTGTTGTTTTCAGTCCATTGTGTTAGAGCAAGTCAATCAACTCCAGCATCCACATCTGTTTGCAATAACCCTCAGGTAGATAATAACAGCTAAGACAAGTATCACTGAAAGAGATTAGGAAAAAATAAGCTGTTGTTCTCTTTCCTTTAGTGTGTTTCTTTGTGCCTTGGACAAGGCTGATACACACTTGGGTAAAAACTTGCTCTTCAGAAGTTGGTCACCACTCTGTCATTCCTTCCCCATGATACGGGGAAGGAGAACATTCACAAATAGGAGACTGCATTAAAAAATCCCATAAAACCCAAGTATTCCATGTTCTCTGTAGAACTAGAGTGAATTACCCCAAGTACTTCTGTTGATGCACTCACCTGCTGCTTTGTGCTGACAAAATGCAGTTTGTGTGTGTGTAAATACCTGCTTTTCTCCCAAACCTGTCATTATTCATTAAAGAGCCTGACCCTCATCTTTCACACCATAATACAGTTGAATGTTTGCCATGATTTTGCCATGTGCACCTACCCAGTTCCTCTCATCAAGGCAAGCAGTGATACCCAGCGAGGTGAAGACATGAGTTAGGGCCAGCCAGATGTTGCTGCTGATCAGATTAAAGCAGCCAAACAGTTCTGCTCTCAGTTTCCCTTTTTACCTTCAACCATGGTTAAACTTTCCTTGTCAAAGAGACAAAAGCTGCCAGCATAGCTCAGAACTACTCTTCCAGAGGAGAGGGGCAGGTCTGTGGGCTGTGTTCAGACAAGTACTGCTCTTACTGGGGAGAAGAAGCCGTTTAACCAGATGCCTCAGAACCAGGCAGGCTCATCTGCTGGGCAAGGGTCAGCTACTGGCATAGCAGGAAATCTAAGGGCCAGTTTTGGCAACTGCACTCAAACCAGCAGCTCAGAAAATTAAAAAAAAAAAAAAAAAATTGTGTGTGGAGTCTTCCCTGATCACGAATCACTGTGTTCCTTAACCCTCTGCTATTCCAGACCCAGCTAGCACAGCTTGGCACTGCTCAGCCTGGCTGCCAGTCAGCCTTATCCTAAGGCAGGTCCCATTACAGCCTTCCTGCTGCCTCACTTCCAGGAACCTCTGCATTTCCACACTACTTAATATATTATAGTACACCCACAGTCAACAAATGAATAAATAATTCAAGTTTTGTAAGAAATAAAATGTTAAATTGTTAAACCCCACCATTATTTACATTTGGATTACTCGGCGGGCTTGTTTCCAACACTGGCACTACTTAACTACTAGAGGAACAAACAGGCCTCACCTTGTGTTAGCAGCTACATCCCAGCATCATCCTGCCCAGCTCCAGAGGTGTGTGTGCCTCTGCCCCAGCAGCCGTTGAGAACACCTCTGAATTCAAGCATGTGACCTGTGCTGGGATTTTATTTCATTTTTTTTCTCCATTAGGAGTTACTCAGTAAAAAGACTTACTCAGGGGCAAATCAACCCCTTTCTCTGGCACAGCCTCTCAGATGCAGGATGGTAACCATCTATTCCCTGTCAGTCATCTGTTGGCTGTTTTGTTCTGCCACGACAAACCATCTTGGTGCCACTTGACCCAGCACCTCCTTTGAACAGTCCAAAGATCTGTACCTGTTCTTGCTGTTTTCAGACCCTTCAGCTACATACTCAGTTTACAGGTTTAACATCCTCCCCCCAGGTGGTTCAAGCTGACTTGGACACCCCTAATGCAGAAACAGGTTATTGCCTGAACCAGACTTGTGATCACACACAGTTTGTTTTCCATCTACAAGAGTAACAACCAACCCAGGTTTGAAATCTCTTCATACCTCTGTCAAGCTGACCCTGAGCCACCAAGCTTTGGGTAACTATTGCTCCTTCCTCTGCTTTCCTCAGATTAAAGGTGGCAAGCTGTTGGGATGGCAGGAATTCAGAGGAGGGTGATGCTATATCCAGACCAACTGGTTGTTGCTGGTTTTGTTGCCAGGTTAGGTCACCCCAAAGATCTTTGACTCTAACAGAACTGAAGTGCATAAACTGAGATACTGTTGTGTCACCCAAGACTGCCATCCATCAAGTACTGTTTCTTCCCCTTTAAAAACCTTGGTGGGTAGAGACAGGCAGATCTTCAAAGGTACTTAACAGTTCCTTAAGATTTTTGGTGGGAAGTAGGTATGCAAATGCTCTTACACACACAGGTCTTGGTGAGTCAGGAGCAAGCCATCGGTGTCTCTGGCCCTGACACCTTCCTTCCCAGCTCCATCTGCCTCAGGTTGCTAAAAACGTCCAGAACTCTGGCTGAAAGAGATTTCAAAGAGGAGCAGGCCAGGGGATAGGGTGGGGGTGTCTACCTAAAAAATGAGTTTGATGAAAGCAGAACTAAGTGCAAGGAGACTGACTCATACTTATTTACATTTTTGACAGAAAGCTCTCCGAGTCATGCATGTTTTGACTTCTCAAACCTCATATGCACCATCTTCT